ATAGATTATCCATTCTTTATTATGTATATATACAGATAGATGAATTTATTTACACATAAACATGTATATAAATATGCATGTATATGCATATATTAATATATATATGGATTATATTTTGCAATATAAAATATATATATATATATATATATATATATATATTGATATGTCATATGTATATATACATACAGTATACATATATGTGTGTACATACATCTACTTTTATTTTCCTTTCTTCTTACCAACCAAAAAAAAAACTAGGATGTAAACAGGAAAGAAAGAAAAAAAGAATGACAAAATGGCGACCTAACCGTGCGTAAAATATAAGGCCTGGATTATCACCCATAATAACCATTCCGCGGGGCGTAGGCGGTTTGTTCACTCAAGGTATGCCGGTTGTCGGACGTCTGGAACAAGCGGTTTGTTGACAACTCGCTGAGCGACTTCTGATAGACTTGGTGTGTCTCACCACCATATCAGAACACTGGGGTAATAGTGTTGCACACAGGAAGGGGTACTGATGTTCTTACATGTCATCGGTGTGGTTCGGGAGAGAATATGGTAAGTAAATAAAGTGTAGCTTCATGAGAGAGAGAGAGAGAGAGAGAGAGAGGAGACGGAGACAGAGAGGGGGGAGCGGGGCAGAGAGAGGGGTGGAGAAGGATAGGAAGAGAGAGGAGAGGGTGGGAGGCAGAAAGAGAGAGGGAGAGAGAGAGAGAGAGAGAGAGAGAGAGGAAGAGAGAGAAGAGAGAGAGAGAGAGTCGACACCAGAGGCGTGAGACAGGAAAGAAAAGAGTGAGCGAATGTTCGTGATGTGCTAAAATGAGGAGCATTAAAAGTCAAGGCAGGCATCGGACAGACCCCCACAACCCCCATAAACTCATGTTGTAATTTGAACTTATACAACACGTTCAAAGATTTTATGGTTATTACTGACAACAAAAAAGTTTGTTGCCAGGTATCACGATGGTTATTTAGATAGACGCCAGATACAGCGTGAAGAGGGTGAAGGGGGTGATAGATAAGATAAAGAAATAAAAAGAAAAACCAGATTTGGAGAGAGCAGTGAGAATGAGGAGAAAAGAGAGAGAGAAGAGTGGAGGGAAAGGAGAGAAGAGAGAGAGAGAGAAAAAAAGGGATAGAGGGCAAGAGGAAGTGGGGAAAAAAAAAAAAAAAAAAAGGGCTATAAAATAAAAAAATAAAAAAAATAATAAAAAAAAAAATAAAATATACATATATATATACTATGATAAATACTATATATATATATATATCTATATATACATATATATAAATATATATATAATGCCCATAAATCTTTCATTACATATTCATAGCAGGAAATAGATACTAATAAACAATTACAAATTAACTTCTGAATACTCGACTCTACAGGGTGATCAGTCTTTCCTGTATTGGCAAATATATTTTTTTTATGTTTTGACTGAAAGAACCCCAGATTGTAGATTTTACCCCAGTCTAAATCTTATGTTGATAAAGAGAACGCTACATCGCCAAAATAATGTTTGTTTGTGTGTGTGTGTGAACCTATATGTGTCTGCGTGCCTGAACATACGGCAGTCAAGCAAAGAATATTTAACTTGTAGCTACGAGAATACAAGATTCAAAATCATCCAACTCTTTATTTGATCTTCACCGCAATTATGTTTGCTGTTCGTGTATTCCCTGAACTCGCTACCTGCTCTTTCAATAATCAGCTCACACACATATTCATTGTTAAGGTAAACTGTTAATAGCCAGGTGGCCGGGGATCTGCCGTCATAGGCCTTTCTGCGACTCGCTTTCATGTCCCATTTTTGTATGTTATCGAAGTCGTTATCATGAACTATCGACAGGGAAAATCCTGGAAAATCGGGTTAATGAAACACTTAAATCGACCAAATCTATGACTCGTGGGGATTTGTGTTTGTGGAGATATATCGCATCGTATATTCTACCTCAGTAGTCTTTTTTCTCTATCATACCATTCAGAGTAGAAATCCCGCAGGTCAATGCATTGAGAGGATTCTGTTCTGGTTCCCAAGGGAGAGCGAAACTCCTGGCGGGTACATGGGAGCGGGAAGGGGAGGAACCCAGGTGGATAGTTGTGTTAGGAGGGGAGGGGGGGGGAGGGTAGGATGGTCTCGGCACGGGCTCTTCGCCGGCTCTGAGCAGCATCCTCTCGCTGGGCGTTACTATGTAATACGCTCTGCGAGGGGCGTAACGGGATTTTTACTACGTGGGAGTGGGTGTGTCAGAAGTTATTACTTGCGTTGTATTGCACGCGTTGCTATTTGTGGTTTACATTATCACCTAGAAGTTACGTATACATGTATATGCATATGTAATTGTCGACGTATACGTACATATGTGTAGGCGCGTGCACTATCTCTTACACACACGTGTGTGAGCGCGAGCGTGCGTGCATTACCTAATACTTAATAATCTTTTCTGTTTACACCCCAATCTCAACGCGGCCACTAACCACCGCCTTTGCCCGCAGGGACGACGAGACCAAACCGGAGGACGAGCTCTCTGCGTACCAGAAGGCCGCGAGGGTCGGCAGCCAGACCGAGGACGACTGCCAGTACGAGTACCCGTGTCTCGTGCAGCCCTTGGAGTTACTCCTCTACGTCTACGATTACTGGTACGGCGAGGAGTAGAAGGCGCCGCCGCTACCTGCTCCTGACTGTTAGTTCCTACAAGCAAAGAGGCCACTGCAGACGGCTCGCTCTCCCTTCAAGCTGGTGATGGTTGCCGTGAAGAGGTTGTTCGACCCGGCCGTTACAACGCGCCGGCTTGAGAGAGCGGCGAACGTCTGACCACAAAGACAGACGGGAACGTAAACGAAGACGAACGGAGTGGAGACTAATCGACTATTTTGTGGAAAACAGGAAAAAAGACGAACAAACTCGTGACCAAAAATATAACAATAAACAATCAAACAAAACTTTAAATGAGTGGGGATGACGTCATTTTTGGAGCTGAAGTGACTGATCGTGACTCAAGACTTTATTTCCGTAGTGAAAAAAGACTTCCTACTAGACCTAAGTTATACAGAAACGTGACTTTGTTGACCAATACGCAGAAAATCAAACCTTCACTGTGGGTCACCCTAACCCACGCTCCCATGTATCCAAAGACTACAACTTTGCCTTTGTGAAATAATGCAGACGAAACTGAATGACGAAAACTAATAAAATGTGACAAAGATCATTTAAAAATATATAAAAATAGACATTAGTACAAGCTCAGATCCACGTGAAGAGTTCAGAACCCCGTGTGTATTCAACCGAAGCAAAGGCAACGGGGGTGGGGTGGGAGGGGACTTTGTGGCTTAGTATATTGCCACAAAAACGTATTCCGAACTTGTTCATAAAGTGTTCTATAATGTTAGTGAATCCTTCATGTGACAACCAAGAGAAAATGATCACAGACAGGTAGATAAATGGTGTAAACTCGGATGTACTTCTCTGCATGAAGTCTAGTCTGAGGTATAACAACGGTGTTCATTATTAACACTTGGCATAGTATAGCTGTACTAGTGGTTCTTGCCCTGTCGACCTGCAAGAAATGGAACATAATTATCATAACATAATTAGAGAAGCTAAGAGTTCACTTCTTTGTGACTTTGAAGTTACGTAAAATATGAAAAGTTCAAGAAAAGGAGTAAGTGAAGCCTCATGAACCTCAAAGTGGCAAAGAATACGAATTTTCGAAGCCTTTCACCGGCAGAGGATAGCCGATGACTTGCTCCAAAGCCAGTGGCATTAGAACTTATGAATCCAATGACAATTTTATCAGAAATGCCGATTTTTTATGGTAACTGAATAATTTTTTTTAGCTGTAAACTGCTTCCTGAATGTAGTTAAATGTATATAGATTTTATTTCTTTCTCCTCTATTTCCAAATTATCTCTTTATTGGACTCCTTAAATATTGTCCTAAAAGAAAATCTTCTTAGATAAGGTATTCTTGTAAGTGGCCCAGGTGCTATTCGTATACAGTTTAAAGAATCCCATTGCAAAACACCCAAGTCACTCTTAACTACTATCTGTAACTCTGAGGTGTTAACCTTCTGACCAATTATGATCTATCCCCAAAAATACATATATTCCCCCTAAATACACTTGGAACCGATCAATCCTCCCCAAAATACACGGAATCGATCTATCCCCCTAAATACACTTGGAATCGATCTATACCCCAATAAATAATCTTGGAATCGATCTACCCACCTAAAAAATACTTTTGGTATCGATCTGCTTTACCCAAAAATGCTCTAGGAATCTCTCCCCCTAAAATGTACTTGGAATCGATCTACCCCACCCAAAAATACTCTTGGAATCGTCGAGTTATTTCAGTCAACTAATTTCGTGTTACCAGATCACTCATTGACCATTCATTTACATAGAACTGAATGTCAGCATTGAGACGCCATTATTTATTAACTGAAATCAAAGAGATGTGAGGTCTTCAATTCAGAACATGCGCCTTCATCCTTTCACACAACCTCAGTGTCAATTTAGCAACTTTGCATCATATGCATAAATTCTCAGCATCTGCTTTAGTCCTTAAGTGGTAAGTCAGGGCATATTTTATAGTGATAAGACATTATTATATATACTTAGGTTTGTAATACACTCGGGTATGTAAACAAATACTCGTTGAGCCTACTATTGGAGTGCCCCAAAAATTGACATCAAAGTAAGCTTTCCTTGTGTCTTTCTGCCGTGCTCATTAATTCACTGGCAAAAATGATTATGTCACGGAAACTATGAGAATTATCTCACTTGGCTCATCTCTTCCATTTGTAGTACATATCCTTGTTTCTTTTTCTTGTTGCGTTAGTGCTACGTTGATCAGGTTCCCCTGTTGCGATCTTTCTTTCCCCGTCGCCCTTCCCCTACCCCCGCTGTCTCTCTCTTTTTTGTTTCTCTATTTGTCTCGTTCTCTCGAGAATGTGATCAACTAAGTTCTCAAGGTAACAATCCGCGGCCAGTCTGAAATTTATAGATATATATATATCATGTACGATATTTCTGCTCCACACACATCCTCTTCCACATTCTGAAGTACCAGATATATTTCATTAAGTATTTATTTTATCACTGATCATTCTTCCTCTTCGGGTTCAATTTCCCTTTGCATGATCTTTTTTCTCATCTCTGAGTCGGGCAGGACTGACTTTTATCAGAATTATTACAAAAGTAATATGATATTGTTCTCATAAGCATCTGTCGTGACTAGCATTGATAGTATTACAGTTCGGAATGAGCTATAAACATGTAATAATGTATTCTATTGGGTTAGATGCATCCAAAGATGGTATATATATATAGAGATATATTAACTAGTTACAGATGAACCATCTGAAGTTGCTTCCACGATGAAATAATGAAATCAACATTCAGTGGACAATAAATAAAGCAATAATAATATTATTATTCACAACTTTCCATTGACGTCTGTATTTTATCTATCAGGATGCCATGAATATCTACCGACTGAACACTCTAGTTTCAAAGCAAAAAATAAAAATCTTTTTTTTAAGAATACAATGAAGATTATTTTTGCTGGATTTTCATAAATTCATGAGACAATAGGGTTTATGATTGGAGGTTTTGTTCAGATAAAAAGGTTATTACTAATTTTTCAACAACTACTCAAAACTTGTCTTTTATTTCATTTATATAAAACAATTAGTCTATTTTTTCTCGGAAAAAATGAATAAAAGACAAAAGACACCTTAGTTAACCAAAGTGTAGAAAGTCGGTAGATGATTTTAGCCAAATTTTGTCTAATATGTATGTTGGTGAAGAATAACCTAGTGTATTATCATTGGGCATTTGTTATTCTACTTTCTTATTTATTTACTTAATTTCTTTTTCACAAGTTGTGGTTTATCCCGTCCTAGATGCGCCCTTCGTTTCAATTGTAGGATAACTTAAATCTCAGCTAGAAAAAGATAATAAGTCCGTGGGCATTTAACAAATCAGAACCTTCCCTATAAGAATTTGGAAGTTTCGGTTAGAAATTCAAATTGGCGATGGAATTACTGTGGCCAATTATTTTACATAAGATGCATCAATGCTCTGTATCTGGTTAATTTATTTTGGTTTCGGAATACTAGTACAGTGGTATCTTCCGATTTTGTTTATTTGTAATGGTATCTAAATCACGTTTGTTGATTTGTATACGTGTAGAAAAACAAAAAAACAAAAAACTTTTTAAAATTATTTCAATTATACTGGGATGTTTCTAGAATAAAACAAATAAAATGAGAAACTTACACCGTTTTTTTAAATTATCCTTTACATATGATAATTTATAAAATGGGAAAAGGTATCCCCTAATATACTTTTCTTGTACAAGTAGTGCATTGTTAAATATCATTCTGCTTTTAATTATTTTCACCAATAACCTTCCTAAAAATATATTTTTTCCATAATATAAAAAACTTTCAGGACTATAAATCATATTCTTACTGAGAATATATCTCTAGCACTAGTTCTTCAGGCAATTATTTACATGTAAAGTAAAGAAGCATGATGCTTGTGAAGTATAGAAACGCTACCCATCTATGTATCTTTTTGCCTTTTAAAATACCTTGTTGGACATACGCTTTTCCCAATCTGCACCATGATTAATTATACAATACCATGTAATACAATCTCAACGGGAAAAAAGTAAACATGAAAGAAGGAAAGAACAAGGTAAAGTCGATATAATTAAAACTTGGGTCTGAATCTTTCACCAACGATATATAGTGCAGAGCAAAAGATGGGACTTTATGGGATGGAGAACGAAACAACTTGAGGAAGTCGATGGAATAAATCATCATTATTTGAGGTAAATTTCATATAAAGTCGATGGAACAAACCTGAACATTATTTCAAAGAACAGAACATCTTTGAGAAATTGATGGAATAAATCTTGACTGAAGTAGGCTGAACATGTCACTTAATCGAACCCTACAACCATATATTTTCCGAATTAAATGTCACTTGTTTAACTCTCACACATTGTATAACTTGCTAGTCTTAAAAGAAAAGCTTTTTGAAATATTTGTTATTCCTCCACATGTTTTTTTTATCCAGCCATTCACATCTCACCAATAAAAGAACATATAGCAAAAATATACCTCACATTTAATAATAATGATAATAATAAAACAGTATTGGCTAACTTTTATTGCGCCATTTACCAGGCAGTTAAGGAATGTTATACAACTAGTGCAAGTAATAAAAATAACGTCTATCGTCAAGAAGAAATATTAGGCAAAATAATTTAATAAATAATGACTTTAGGGTTGAAGAATCAAACGTGCTCTTTAGGTCGTGAATTTCACGCAAATGACAGTACGGCGTTTCCTGTATAAAGTTCCCTTTCTGTACAAAATTAGATATACATATCAAGATGACTTGCAAATAACCAAGATAACTGTCAAGTAAGAAAAACAATCTTTTATACTGATATGTTGCAGCGGGGAAGGAGTAGACAA